CTTCTGTCTGTGCACATTATGGTGTTCTACCTCAATCATTCAAAATCTGATGTTAATGCACATAAATAACTCAGAGAATTATACTATCCAATGCTCCATTTTAATGAGAACTCTTCAAGCTGTAATTAAAATCAGTGTTAGTTTATCTGAACAATTTGAAGACATCAAAACACAGCCATTTATTTTAAGGGCTCTCTTTTCCCATAAGCAAATAATACCCCTGACCATGAGACCTATGTTTATGAAGGTTCTTCAGTGTATTTTAGCATTTTTAAAATAAATTCTATGCTATTGAGAAATCAAAAGGTGCAATCACTGCTTTTTCCATGTTCTTCGTTGTGAACCATGCTCGTTTTGTTTTTAAAGAAGATGTACACTGTGAACTCAGAAATAAGTCCCACTGCATTTGATGGGACGTTCCAGTACGCTTGGATAGAGTTACATATGGAAATCTGCTTAAAACTCCATATAGGCTACAGAAATCCAGCAAATTGCAATGTTTGCTCATAGAAAAATAAAATTTATATTTGGCAGGAAGTCTTAAGTGAATGTAAGGAGGAGGATTAAATTTTAAAGTTGGCAAGTTTCTCCTTCCACAACTAATGGCAGCTTCAGAGGGGGGTGGTTTGTATTGGGCTGTTCTTATCCTGAAGCAAAGTTCTTAACCTGAAGCACTATTTCTGGATTAGCAGAGGCTGTAACCTGAAGCGTATGTAACCTGAAGCGTATGTAACCCAAGGTACCACTGTACGTAAAAACGGCACTACACACACACACACACACACACACGTGCAAATGGGATAGTTCTGGGATGATAATATGAGGTTGAAGTCAGGTTAGCAGGAGAAGATGACTTTTGCCAGTTCTGTCCCCAGTGCCAACTCCTGCATGGCTCCAGAGCGTCCCCCATCCCTCTGGAACAGGATGGAGGTGGTCCTGGGGGATGCAGGAGAAGCAGGAATCCGCAGACTTCATCCTCCCCAAGCTAGTAGGAGCAAACTATGGATTCAACTCATTGACTATGATGCGAAGGCTTGTAAGAAGAAAGAGGGCAGCTACAGTACAATAAAATTGGCAGAAATGAAAAATAAACCATACAAGCATTTGAGCAGTTGGAAAAGGAAGGCAGAAAAGATTGAAAAGCAGAAAAGTTCCAAACTGCTTTCCAACAAAGAGTTGCAGCAAACTAATTCTCAGGTTCTTCGTTTTTTTCTTCCGATGGCTTTCATTCCACATTGTTTTCAAATTATTACCAGCTGACACATTCAAAAGTAATTTCTCTTCCAAGAAGCTTGTCATAATATTTACTTTCTTCACAATAACAACAGAAAAGTCAGCCAGGACTGAAATGGGGAGACGTACTAAACCTGAAGCCCAATCCTAATAATCTTTCCTTAGAAATAGTTCCCACAAAGTCAGTATGTTTGTGTGCGTCATTTATAGGTACATGCATACAGCACGGCCATCAAATGTTCATGGCATCTGTGTTGTGTTGTAATCGATTCCATGTTTACTCAGAAGTAAGTCCTGTATAGGGATGCGGGTGGCGCTGTGGGTAAAACCTCAGCGCCTAGGACTTGCCGATCGCATGGTCGGCGGTTCGAATCCCCGCGGCGGGGTGAGCTCCCGTCGTTCGGTCCCAGCTCCTGCCCACCTAGCAGTTCGAAAGCACCCTCAAGTGCAAGAAGATAAATAGGTACCGCTTTATAGTGGGAAGGTAAACGGCGTTCCGTGTGCTGCTCTGGTGCCGGTTCGCCAGAGCACCTTCGTCACGCTGGCCACGTGACCCGGAAGTGTCTGCGGACAGCGCTGGCTCCCGGTCTCTAGAGTGAGATGGGCGCACAACCCTAGAGTCTGGCAAGACTGGCCCGTACGGGCAGGGGTACCTTTACCTTTAAGTCCTGTATTGTTCATTGGGGCTTACTCCCATGTAAGTGTACAGAAGATTGGAGCCCAAGGAACAAAAGGCAAGTTACATGTGAAAGGAGTGTACAGTCTAAAGTTCCAGTGATCTTTTTTCCAGTGCTAAGTTTTCAGCTTTTATAAATACAAAAAAAGGTGCATCTCTGTGGTGATTGACTTTGTCAGGTCTAAACTATGTGGACGTGCAAAGTGCATCTGTCAATCTCTTAGTCAAGGGTAGGAAGGGGCAATGGCCACATTTTGCAACCCACTGAATACATGGCTTGGTTTGGTATTTCTCCTGCAGAAAAGGGCTCTGTTATTCATGAAGGACACTTTATGTATTTTTCACACACAAAATGAATGGGGGAAAACAGCTCAGCGTTCAGACTTTTCCAGTAATTGGGTTGTCTTGGGCCTCCGAGTGTACGAAATCTCTGTGTCTGTTGTAGAGGTACTTTAGAATTATTATTATAAGAGAGGGACTCAGAGATTGCGAAGAAGCATCACAAGCTGCTTGCATGACCTCTTCACACAACTTTCCTACAAAAGATTCTTTTTGGACATGAAAACACACGATGCCAGCCGGGCGTGAACTTGATTGTGCAAGTGGCTAGCGGTATAAGTTTGTAACATTCGAAAGCTATGTTGAGGAACAACTTCGCCTCCAGCAGTTTCTCTGCTAAAAATAGCCTCCATCTGCCCCCCCCAGGAGCTAAAAGTGTTATCTCCCCCCCCCAGCATGTCAACATAGCAACAGCTGACTGGTTAAGAAGCCTCCAGGGTCCCATCCCTGGGTATATTCCACTTCAGATTTAAGCCTGCTAGAAAGAAGGAAAAAGTCAAGGAATAGCACCCTCTCACAATGGATAATCATGTATAGTTTTCCTCTCAGTGAGAGAAAGCCAGCCATCTATAATGAATTCATTCATTCATAGCGAAATTAATATAATAATTCACATTTCCCTTGTTCATAACCTTCACTATAAACTTTAGTGTTTTAAAACCTCTTATTTCAATTAGTGCTGTATATATATCCTCTATAAAGAGGGGGGAATCTACATGTAAATAGATTCAACCTCCATTTGATTAGTAAGAACACAAAATTAAAAAACATAGTCCAGGAAATTATCTTTATAAGTTAGTTTACAGCATCGGTTTAAATGTTACAGTACAGAATAAAATACAGTAACCAGGAAAACATTACAGAATTCCGTTCTTTTTATATTATTTCACTAAATCCATGAAATTTTTATGCTTCCAGAAAGTCTGGATGATTCAGGCTTACTTCTATGAGTGTTAAAAGGTCTTAAAATGGCAAAAGCTTGACAAGTATTGAAATGATTAATTGTGGTTAAGGTGCTACATCCTCTTTCATACTTATGCTTTAATAACTCAGAAGTTATGAACGTTCCCATTTGAAAATATAACTGAAATCAACTTGGTTTCATGTTTCAGCACCTAATTGTAGCTAATTTGGGAATAAGCTAACTAAGCCTAAAATCCTATTAGGAAAGAAAACCATGCCTGTTTTGTCCCGTTTAGAAAAATGTCATTCTGAGAAATGTCAGTCTATCACTGTGGACTTAATGCCTAATTCTGAAGGTAATCTAACACTATTTGCAGTCATTCCATAAGAATCTATTTGCAGTTGTTGCTGCTGCTGCTGTTGTTGATGATGATGATAGTAATAATAATAATAATATCACACATTCAATGTGCACGAGACTTTAAAGCAGGCATGGGGAATCTTTTAACTACAGTGGTACCTCGGGTTAAGTACTTAATTCATTCCGGAGGTCCGTACTTAACCTGAAACTGCTCTTAACCTGAAGCACCACTTTAGGTAATGGGGCCTCCTGCTGCTGCCGCGCTGCTGGAGCACAATTTCTGTTCTCATCCTGAAGCAAAGTTCTTAACTTGAAGCACTATTTCTGGGTTAGTGGAGTCTGTAACCTGAAGCGTATGTAACCTGAAGCGTATGTAACTCGAGGTACCACTGTACTCAGCAATACATGACTAATAAAGATTTTCAGGCTGCTTACAAACCATACCTTTAAAACACATTTAAAGCACATGACCTCCCCTCCAAATTCCTGGGAACTGTAGTTTGTTAAGGGTGCTGGGAATTGTAGCTCTGTGGGATGTAAGCCACATGACTGAAATGTATGGGGAGTAATTCAACATTGCGCTCCGTTGATTGTTCCGTCGGGGCTTGCCAGCCAGAGCAATCTCTCCTCTCCAACCCCCACCCATGCCAATTTGGGGGGCTGTTGGGGAGAAAGCCCCATTGTGCAAGCCAAAGTCTTTGCTCGGGACTCATCCGTTGAAGTGTTAGGGAATGCATTAGAGCAGGGGTCAGCAAACTTTTTCAGCTGGGGGTCGGCCCACTGTCCATCAGACCTTGTGGGGGGCTGGACTATATTGGGGGGGATGAATGAATTCCTATGCCACACAAATAACCCAGAGATGCATTTTAAATAAAAAGACACATTCTACTCATGTAAAAACATGCTGATTCCTGGACTGTCCGTGGGTCGGATTGAGAAGGCGATTGGGCCGGCTCCGGCTCCTGGGCCTTAGTTTGCCTACCCATGTATTAGGGTACACCACACATTTATCAGAAGGTGTGGATGTTGGTTGCACACAGGGAGGGCTTCTGTCATTTCCATGGCTGAATAGACGCATATATCAAAAATGCTGCGAATTATATATTTTTTAAAGTTTTTAATATATATGGAATCTTCCATTAGCTCATCAGCGCCATCTAGTGTCATATTTGTATAATACACTTAAAATGCCCTTTAACATTATATTTGCAGCTGTATAGCTGAATCCCAGGTTTCCTGAACACACAGAGCTATCTACTTATCGGCTCTGTTCAGATACTTGGATGAGCCTGCGAACAACCAAAGTGGAGACGGCGGCCATAATCCTATGACACTAATTCTCTCCCTCACACTCGTTCACAGGCTGCAGCCTTGTTTCAAAATCAGGCAATTAACCTGAATGTGCAAGAAGCATTTGCTCAAAAAAGGGGGGAGTTCCTTCCCCCTTCCCCTTTTCGTCAATCTTAGCAGTGTTCTTTTGCTCCACAGTTTGAAGGCTGCAAGAAGGCCTTTTCTAGACTAGAAAACCTCAAGATTCACTTAAGGAGCCACACGGGAGAAAAGCCTTACCTTTGCCAGCATCCAGGCTGTCAAAAAGCATTCAGTAATTCCAGCGACCGAGCCAAGCATCAAAGGACTCACCTGGACACGGTAAGGGAAGAACGGCATTTCAGATTGCTCTCCTGCTTTGACTCTGCTGTAGCTCTTGTTCTCTGCAATTAGAACTTTGAAAGGGGAGATCGTTGGCTATGGAGAATTTGGGGCAGAGGCAGAAGGTTAGATGAAGATTGAATCACACTTAAGCGCAGACCCATTGAAATCAGTGGGCCTTCAATTGGTCCTGGCTGAAGTCCCATTGATTCCAGTGGGCCTGCTCTATGTATGACCAGGGTGGAATCTACACATATATATTTAAAAAAACAACACTGTGAAAATGCTTTTTAAAAAACATTTTGAAAAATACATTGAATTTTGCATAGCTCACTGTTGCCATCTAGTGTCACATTTGTAAATTGCACTTTACAACACATTTAAAATGTTTTATTTGCAGCTGTGTAGCTGAGTCCTAAGGGACGCAGGTGGCACTGTGGGTTAAACCACAGAGCCTAGGACTTGCCGATCAGAGGGTCGGCGGTTCGAATCCCCGCAACTGGGTGAGCTACCGTTGCTCGGTCCCTGCTCCTGCCAACCTAGCAGTTCAAAAGCATGTCAAAGTGCAAACTGCACCTATTTATCTACTTGCACTTTGACATGCTTTTTGAACTGCTCGGTTGGCAGGAGCAGGGACTGAGCAACGGGAGCTCACCCCGTCGCGGGGATTCGAACCGCCAACCTTCCGATCGGCAAGTCCTAGGCTCTGTGGTTTAGCCCACAGCGCCACCCGCATCCCTAATACACACAATATATTCCACTAAAAGAGTTTGGAATGTAGAAAGCAACAGTAGCTGTGTTGTTCTATGAGAAAACCACAGTTGGACAGCAACTTTATTGGGACCAACCAAAATGTCTCCGGAACTCATCATCACACAGGATGCTATGCAAAGCAGTGGCATGCAAGTCATTAATTAGCAAAGCTATGGATTAATATTAGATTGTACACTAAGTAAAAAGAGTTTAGAATACTTGCCTACAACAGGTCACAGGCAAAGCATGATATAAAATGTTCATGTATACATTCAGATGTTGACTTCTCAATAATTTCGATCAATTTCAATGCACATACTAATGTGCATCTGTTTTAGTCAACTTTTGCTCCTGAATCCAGCAAGGAACACCCATGGAAGTAAGTTGGCTTTGACTTGCACGCAGTGGCCTTGTTCACATGTAACACTATGCCAAACAGTGGCTTAGCAGGAATGAGCAAGTGCACTGGTGCAGAGTATGAACATCATGGCTGCTTCTCTCCTCCCCTGCTGCACAACCAGGCCTCAAACCATGATTTAGTTTGCTAACCGAGGCTCATGGGTTGCCTCCCCGAAATAGATCATAACTGGTAAACCAAGAACAAGCTTGTCTACAACTTCTGGTTTGTTTACAGCAAGACAAACCCCAAGTCCATGTTTGGATGCAATGCTATGCCAAAGCATGGCTTGGCTCACAATAGGACACTTTGCACAACTATGTTCGTTCACATTATGCCATATTGTTACATACGAACCAGGCCATTGTTGATGTGTGTGTGTGTGTGTGCGTGTGTGTGTGTGCGCGCGCACGCATCAGGATGCACATCTGCATTAGAGTTGTGAGTCTCATTTGGGTCCCAAGAAAATGGCTGTTTGAAGATGACAAGAATTGGTTCACGGCCATGATTTTCCAGTGCTTGTGGAGTAATACTGTACCCAAAGGCAGGTGAAAGTATGTGCTAATTTGTTTTTATTTAAGCTTGCATCTTGCAGAAGATGCTTCGTTCATTACAATTTCCTACACAAAAAACAGCCCATATCATAAATAATTAAGTATAAGAGTTATTGGTTGAAATGCATAGGTAAAAGTAAAGGTAAAGGGACCCCTGACCATTAGGTCAGTATGACCGACTCGGGGGTTGCGGCGCTCATCTCGCTTTATTGGCCGAGGGAGCCAGCGTACAGCTTCAGGTCATGTGGCCAGCAGGACTAAGCGCTTCTGGCGAACCAGAGCAGCGCACAGAAACGCCATTTACCTTCCCGCCAGAGGCGTATTTATCTACTTGCATTTTGACGTACTTTTGAACTGCTAGGTTGGCAGGAGCAGGGACCAAGCAACGGAACTCACCCCATCATGGGGATTCGAACCACCGACCTTCTGATCGGCAAGTCCTAGGCTCTGTGGTTTAACCCACAGCGCCACCCGTGTAGATCAGGCCTAAAAACACCTGGGAAAGTGTTTCACTCTAATGGCACTGTGTTATACAAATACCTTCCTGCACGGCAACTGTTGCTCATGAAGGAAATTGTGATGAATGGAACAAAATTACGATGGTACAATTCTGGCTAGTAATGCAAATGAAACAATGGCAAAACACAACTTTTTCAAATAAGCTCTAACGTTCTTTTAAAAGCTTGTATTGATAGCAGTGCATGTTTATAATTAGTGTTTAAAGTCAAAAACTTCAATAAACAACCACTGAAGATTCTTTGTATAGCCTTCAATATTGTTGAAGCTTTCAAATGTAGAGTTTGCTTTCTGCTTTGATTTCTTGTCTGCCATATCCGACTAACCTTTCCCCTTCCTTCTCTCTTCTGAAGCAGGTTTCTTCTATATCTCTATGTCTGGGACTTTTCCACAGCTTCTTTTCCTGGCCCACTAAAGAAATGTAATCTCTGACTATACCAAAGGTTTCTATGGGGTTACATAATTGTAAGTACAAGTGGAGATAATGATTTATTTGATCAGTGTGTGAAATTCAGTCACTCCTGCCTTTGCCACTTTTTGCACCAATGGGCATCCACCATGCCCTGGGCCCTGGCTGAGATTTCCCCTCACCCAGCCAAACTGACCTTTGCTTCCACATAAAACTTCACTATTTGTCAATGCAGGCTGATGAGCAAGTAAGCAGTTAAAAATAAAATAA